AAAAAAAAAAAAAAAAAAAAAAAAGTTAAAGTTTTATTTCTGGTACCTGGCTTTGAATTTCTATCCTGGAACATGTTGTCTGTGTAATCTTTGTCAAATTCATTGTCCTTCCTGTGTCTTACTAATGACAAGAAATTATTATATTAATAAATCCACATACAACACTTAGAAAATTTACAAGAAATAGTGCAAGATCAAATAACATGACCTTTTCTACTGTTAGTAATATTATCCTTATTGTTCTAATTTTTCCAGTGAAAACAAAATGGCAATCTTTTCTTTTTCTTGTTCAAGAACACAACTTGTGGAAATATTTTTAATTAATTTTGCCTGGAAGAAGGTGATCAGCTGTGTGTCTGCCTAGTGAGGCCTCTTTCATTTCTTTGATTATTCCTTCTTATCTCTTTGCTTTCATGTCTTCTTCAGGGATAGAAATGATCTCTGTACTCATAAGATATTCAGCCTTTAAACTTTCCTGATTCTCTGCAGCAGCTGCTCAAATTTGTCTTTTCTCGCTTTGATTGTTTTTCCTAACAAATATTATTTTTATTGATATTGTACACATATACGTGTTTAAACTGTAAATAATATAAATATGTATAAATACATATTTGTATATTTGTATATGTGTAAATACCCATTTCAAGCAAAAAGTATTATTTTTTTGCAGTAGAAGTTACACAGCACTTCATACATAGACTATATTTAAAAAATAATTTTATTAGTGCATATTAGTTATAGAGATGAAGGAGCTGCCCTTTGGCAGGTTTGCACATGTTACATACTTAGGATGTTCCCATTCCCACTCCAAGACCTCCATCTCTTTTTCTCTCCCTGTCCCCCTTTCCCTCTTCCTCTTCTTTAACAGCTTCCTTCTACTTTCTTGTCATCTCTCCCCAACCTGCTTTTTTCAGATTCCTCATATGAGTGCACACATGTGGTATCTGACTTATTTCACATTCCATGATGATCTCCAGTTCTGCCCATTTTTCTTGCAAATGATGACTTCCCTCCTCCTGATGGCTCAGCAACACTGCTTTGCACATATAATCGCCATAGCTTAGTGAAGTGGGCTGCAGTCAACACGCATATGCAGCCTTTAATTCTGCAGTACTTTAATTCTCAGTCGTGTTATACTTATGAGTTCCCTCTCTGTTGTATTCAGTCTTGCTTTTGCTTAATTTTTTGATTTCCTTGTCAGTCTTTTTCTTACAAGCCCTTCCCTTCTCATCCTACACCACCTTGACCACGCCGAGGGCTGATTTTCCTCTCCGACTGCCCTGTGCTCTTGGGGAACCAGAGCCCATCTTCATTCACTTGAGGGGTCTCTGCTGAAGTTTTCTCCTAGCTGCTGCCATGTCATTTCCAGTGAATCTTTTTTCTCTGGGTGCCGCTCTGTTTTCCTTATTCTACTGACTTGTTTTGTTTCTCAGTTTTCTTCCTTCATTGAGCTGAAAGAGTGGGTGACCCACTCACACATGATTGTCCACAGCATGGATGTTCTTGGCTCCTCTCCACGCTCACTGTGCGATGATCAAGGTAGTTCAGAGATGCTGAGTGATGCAGAATGCTACTGCTCCAACTCCACTGTTGCTGCTGGTTCCCACACTGACCTCGCTGACACTGCAGGGCACTACCCCCTAGCTGCCCCCTGGTTTTCTAAGAAATCTGTTTTGTCAGCAACCAAGGTAGCAGGAAATACTTCTAGGGAACTGCATTTCCTGCCCCTGCCTGCTGCTCATCTCCCAGGAACCTGGTGTCTTGTGCAGCAGCAGGACTGAGGTCACATGGCTGTGCTGACACTCTTGGGTTTTTTGCTTTGTAGTTAGTCTAGGAAGTTGTCACCTCTAAATGGATCTAGACTCAGGGAACACAAACACCAGCATTGTGACCTCAGAAAGCACCAGGAGGCAAAGCTGCCCATGTTAGTGTCTCCTAACTTTGACAGCTTGTGTCAAAATAATTCTTGCTATTTTGCCACCACTGTAGGACAGTCTGGAGCAGAGAGGACAGTGAAAAGGTGACAACCTGGGGGACAGGGGACAGGGACACAGAAGGATGCTTAACATCAGAAGTAACATCAGACTCTGTTCCTCACACACACCACCCTCAAGCTTTGATTCTAGCTCCTTTCTCTTTTTCCACTTTTGCTTCTCTTGACAGAGTAATTGGTTTCTCATTAACTTGACTTGGTGTTTGCTGTTATATTGTGCCCAACTACTTTCCAACCAGTGCTAAAGAAACCATTCCAAGCAGCACATCACATCATCCAAAGCAGCACCATCATAAAATTCTACAATGACCACATCATTTCATTTGGCTTAGAAAGGATCACAAGGACCCTCATCCTGTTATTTCAGCCTCATTTTCTGCTCCTGCCTCTCCTGATCTTACACAGCACTCTCCCATCATCCACGGGGAATACGTTCCAAGATGCCTAACACCCCAGATAGGATGCAACCCTTTACATCTTGTTTTTCTTTTTTTCAGAGCATATATACTTAGGGCAAAGTTTAATTTTTAAATTAGAGACAGTAAGAGATTAACAGCAATAACTAAATCCAAAGTAGAATAATTATAACAAAATGCCATGATAAGATTTATATGAATGAGTCTCTCATTCTTGAAAAAGCTAGGGCAAATATTAATATTTGAGGCCCTGTTGGACAGACAGCAGGTCTCTGAACCAGTGAAACGGGGTGGTGGCCACGTTGTGGGGTGGGACTGTGAAGTCAGCCCCCTGTAGCTTTGGGTGGCTTTCTAGATAATTTACTGATAGATAAATGGGGATATGTTAAAAGCTGTGAGCTGTCAAATTTTCCACTGAGGCATTTTTCATGAATCATAGGACAATTTTCCAAAATTTTAAGCATTAAGCTTTTACCTGTCAAATTTTTCATCATTTTTCTCAAGTGTTTTCTATTCATCTATCTAGAGCAAGTTTATGATAGTTATGTTTAATGTTATTTTAGTCGAGCTTTAGCAAATATTTCTGCATTATTTAGTAAAACAATCATGCCAATTCTGATTCTTTAATAAATGATATGATTATATTTTAAATGTCATCTCCAATTTTATGTGAAATATCTAAAAACAAGCCTAAAACAAATATTTTGAAATCCGGATCACATCTTGATAACTATGCAATATTCTGGGTTATTCTCGCTCTATGACTTGAATTAGTTTGCTTTTCTGTTTTCATAACTGCTTGATTTTTATGTTTGAATATATTTATACCTCAGAAATATTTTTATAACATTCATATATCACCTTACATGGATATATAAACTTACAACCCAGATAAAAGGATAGAGAATATTTTCTGCTTGAAAAATATTTTGGAATCCAAAAAAATTAAACCAGGAATTTATCAAGGAGGGTTTCACATTAAGTTATTACTCTAATATTTTATTTTTCTCCTTAAGTATATAATTGAGTGATATTTCCTATTTGCCTAAACATAGTTTGTAAAGGAAAAATGTTACAAGTGGATAGAATATGAAGTTAAAATATATAACAAGGCAATAAAACTTGCAATCTTATCACCTCCTGCACAAAATTTAGTAAAAGCATCTTCAAGTGATCCTGGTAACATGTGTTAGCAATGTGTGGGATTGAAGCAAGCAAAAGAAAACAAACAAAAATGCTTACCCATGAAATTCTAGAAACAGACATGGAAGAATTAAAGGTGTACATCCTTTTTGCAGATTAGTATTTGTCACACTAAATGATCGAAAAGTGGAAAAATCAGTATTTACCATTCAGTTTTGATGGATATGTTGGCTTGATTTCCCATTAAACGCTGATCTGTCCTAACTGCTGTCGTGGCAGTGCACAGCTGCCCCATGTCTTCTATGCTGTTTCCCATGCCCACCTGCTCCCTCCAGAGATGGGCACTGAGACCACCTCCCAGGACTGCCTGCTGGACTTCCCCACATAATTATCCCCAAACAGATGCACTTTCATTTCTAAATAGGATATTACTACTGGGGTTATTATGAACTCATTTCTTTTAAATTTCGACTTCATATCATATTTAGATTGTTTTATTCTTTCCATAGCATTACATGATATAATGGTACCACAGTCTGGGCTTCCTTAATGTCTTAGTCTCTGTGTCGCTGGAGATTGGGTAGCTCACGAAGAACGCGAAATTATTTCTAATAGTTCTGGAGTCCACAGGTCTAGGTTAAGGTGCTGTCTGGCTTGAAGTCTGATAAGGGCTACTGTATGCTCCAACATGCAGATCTACTCCCAACCCCTTTCCAAGGACTCTAAGCCCATCTACGAGAGCTCTCCCTTCATGAGTCAGCTCCCAAGAATTCCACCTTCCAATTCTGTCACATTGGAGATTAAATTTCAACACAAGAATTTTGTGGAACACATTCAGACCATTGCACTTAATTTATGTCAGTAAGGATTTCCCTATTTTAAAGTGTCCCTACCCCCCCACCCCTGTATACACTGATGCAGCGAACGTTCTTCATTTTGCATTTGTGTGCCCTTGTACATTTTCAAAGTTCATTTTCCTAGAAATTGTACTGACTTGAAGTAGCTGTTATTTCAAATCATGACAGTGTTATTGAAAAGAAACAA